AGGACCCTGGGATCATGACCGGAGCCGAAGGCAGACGCCTAACCATCTGAGCCACCCAGGTGCCGCATTAAGTAGGATCTTCTATATGTTCCTTTGTGTCTGACTTTTGCTTGACATAATGTTTTAAGATTCATACATGTTCATTTTTTTTTCAATGCTGGATAGTATTCTTTTGCACAAGAGTGTTGATGAATATTTGTGTTATTTGCAATTTGAGGGTATTATAACCAATGCAGCTCTGAATATTCTTGTACATTAATCCTGGTATATAAAGGAATGCATTTTTATAAGCTATATGGCAGGGAGTAGATTTCCTGTGTCTTAGGGTATATACAGATATATATACCCTGTATATATAAAGTATAAAGGAGAATGCTTTAGTTTTCCAAAATGTTTATGTAAAGCTCACACTCCTACCAGCTATTGTTTGAAACTTCCAGTTCCTATACATCCTTTTTAACACTTGGTATTGTCAGACATTTTAATTTTCAGGCAACCTGGTAGAGGTGCAATAACATCTCATTGTTTTAATTTGCATTTTTCTGATTACTAACGATAAGCACCTTTTCTGATGCCTATTTTCCATTTGAATTTCCTCTTTTATGTAACAGCTGAATCCTTTGCCCATCTTTCTGTTGCTTTGGCTGTCTGCTCTCTTTTATTATTGATTTGTAAGGATTTGTTATAGATCTGTATATTGACTCTTTTTAGGCTATATGTGCATATACGTATATACATACACACACACTTCATGGGGGGGAAAGAGAGAGAGAGAGAGAGTAGATACACCCCCCACACCTCCCCACACACAATCTATAGCCTGCCTGTTTACTCTCTTAACATCGTCTTTTGAAAGACAGCCATTCTTAAATTTAAAATAGTTTATTTTGCCAACCTTTTCCTTTATTGTTAGTGCTTTTGTATCTTGTTTAAGAAAAATTTGGCCTAGCAATCTATTGTTTAATAAAAGTATAACAAATTATATGTGCATTCTTTTATATTGTCATATCACCTGTGAGTAATTATATTTTTGTCTCTTTTCCATTCTTTATCCTTTTTTTTTTCTTGCCTTGCTGCACTGGTTAGGACCTCAGTATAATATTGCATAACAATGGTGATAGTGGAAATCATTGTTTTTTTCCCAATTTCCAACATTTTACGATTAAAAGTGAAATACAGTGTTGACTGTAGGATTTTTGTTTTGTTTTTGTGAATGTTGTTAATGTTGTAAATTACATTGATATATTTTTCTCCCCGACTTTTTTATTCTGAAAAATTTTGTATGAGTTGCAAGTTTCATTGAATAGCATTTCTACTTGAAATAGCAGGCCACAGACAAATTATGAATATTCAGATTTAGATATTTGGCAGACATTTTCTTAAAAATGAATGAAGTGAGCCTGTCACTTCAAGAAAATAACAGGCAGCGTATTTTACTAATGACGGAAATTGAGCTTTCAAGTCAAAATTAGCATTTTGGAAAACTTATATTTGTCACCATCAGCTTTCTGTTTCTCAAAACTTAAAGGCTTTTCTGAGGAGGTCAGTGATACTATCAATGAACGTGTTTAAAATAGATGCTGGGAAGTGTCAACACTTCAAATATCGGCATAACTCATTACACTAATATTTTTCAAAGACCAGTGTGTGATGTTACAAAATCATGTATGCACAGTGTTAAAGATCCATTAAAAGTGTAAGATAGACCAATGGATTCTAATGTAATAGTAGAAAATTCTATTGATATGGTTTCAGGTTCCTTATTGCAAATAAAATTTAAGAAATCACCACTTGTTAAATTTTGGTATAGATTAAAAGAAAAATATCTACAATTATCTTCCTTTCCCTACTACATATCTTTGTGAAGCTGGATTTTTTTCTTCTGCTTCAACCAGAAACATACATTGCAGTGGATTGAAAGCTGAAACGGATGAGAGAATCCTGCTATCTTCAATCTAGACACTGAAGAAATTTGTAAAAATGTAATATAAATAATGCTAGTCTTTTTACTACTTGTGTGAAAAATATAGTACTTTTCAGAAAAGAATGTGTTATGTTAACATGAAAGGGGTATATTATTATTTTTAAATGAATTGATATTTTTAAATTTTCTCATTTTCAATTTTGTTTGGTAAATACCGATATGTGTTCAACTCATGTAAACAAAGTGTCCTTGGAATCCTCAATAATTTTAAGAGTATAAATTTTACCTGAGACCAAAACGTTTGAGAACTAGGAACAGTACCAGATGCCCTGAGCTTATGAAAGTATAATGTTATCTGGCACATTTGTCCTCTTCCCATGACAATGGAAGAACCTGAAAATATTTTAAGTCCATTTTACCCCTCCCAAATTATATGCTCTTTTATGGTAATTTTAATTCTAGAATTTCTTCTTTGTTTTTGTGTTTATGAAGCTTCACTATGCTGTGTTTAGATGTATAGATGTATATTTTTATTTATTTTCCCTAAGAGTCATTAGCTTAGCCTTTCAAATGTGTGGATTCTTATAAATTGTGGAACTTTCTCAGCCATTATCCTCTGTTCTATCTCTCCTCTCCTCTGGTATTTCAAATAAATACATATTAGGCCTTCTCAGTGTGTTCTCTGTGTCTCTTATCCATTTTTTTAATCTCATGTTTTATTCTGAACATTTGCTTTTATCTTCTTTTTAAAAATTTTTTAAGAAGATTTTATTTACTTATTTGAGAGAGAGAAAGAGCATGAGCAGGGGGAGGGACAGAGGGAGAGGGAGAAGCAGACTCCCTGCTGAGCAGGGAGCCTGGACACAGGGCTTATTCCCAGGACCCCGAGATCATGACCTGAGCCAAAGGCAGACACTTAACCAACTGAGCCACCCAGGCGCCCCTTGCTTTTATATTCTAATTCACTGATTCTCTTTAGCTTTGTCTAATTTGTTATTAAAAACATTCATTGAGTTCTTCATTTCATGTACTATATCAGTTCTAGAACTTTTTTTTTAGATTTTACTTATTTATTTCAGACAGAGCAGGAGTGGGGGTGAGGGGCAGAAGGAGAAGACTCCCCCCTGAGCAGGGAGCCCAACGTGGGGCTCAATCCCAGAACCCTGGGATCATGACCTGAGCTGAAGGCAGATGCTTAACCAACTAAGCCATCCAGGCACTGCAGTTCTAGAATTTCTAAGTGGTTCTTTTTTACATACACTCCATCACTTTTTATAGTTTTCATTTCCCTGTCAACATTTCACTTGGCTTTTATTTCCTTGAATGTAGTGAACATAGATTGTTTCATTCTGTACCCTGTAATTCCATATGTGGAGCTCCTATGGGACTCTTTTCTTTTCTTTTTTTTAAGATTTTATTTATTTATTTGACAGAGAGACATAGCGAGAGAGGGAACACAAGCAGGGGGATTGGGAGAGGGAGAAGCAGGCTTCCTGTGGAGCAGGGAGCCTGATGCGGGGCTCGATCCCAGGACCCTGGGATCATGACCTGAGCTGAAGGCAGCCGCTTAACGACTGAGCCACCCAGGCACCCCTGTTTTGGTTTTCTTTATTGATGCTTTGTCTTTTCATATGGGTTTTAAGATTGTGTGTTGGGCATCATATTTGAAATTTTATTTGTAGCAATAATTTGAGGCCTAGTATGCTATTATCTTCCTCCAGAGAAGTTTTGTTTGTTTGTTTGTTTGTTTTGTTTTTGTTTTTGTTTGCTTTTTCCAGGTGTCTAAGGTTATTAGAAGTTCAGGACTATATAATGCAATTTCTGAAATTGATGTTTTCAGAGCCAACAATCAGCATAAAAGAAGATGACAGATTTTGCTAGACTGGTTTATTTCAAACTTACTTGTAGTATACATCTTAGGAGTCCCAGTCTAAAGTAGATGTGGATTTCCCCTTTTGGGGCTTTGGATTCTGATTTCTGCCAGAAGCAGAACTCAGCTATTTATTCCAGAGCCATAATGCCTCGAGGGCAAAAGCAGCCTTTAGTGTTGGTCTACCTCCCCAAGTTCCAGACTTCTCCAGGCTGGCAATTCCTCACTATCCTAGTAAGTCTTGGATGATCTTAAACAGATTGTTTTTATATTTTTTTCTAGCTCTTCTAGTGATCTGCCATGGAAAGTTTGTCTGAAATTTGTAAGTTAATTTATTGAATCAGATAATCTCATGCTGGTACTTTTTAACAATAATGAATTTGAATGTCCTTTGTACTTTGGTTTTTCATTTCCAAACTAGAAGGAATGACTTATACTATAGTTATTTCCTGAAGCCTGAGCCAGTTGAAAGCCTATATAAGCCACATATTTCTTCTTATTCCTAAAATAAGCATAGTCTTAGGATTTACAGTACAAGCATATCTTTCCCTGTCTCCAGTGAAATGAACCAAACCCCACTGAGACATTCCTGTCTCCTTATCTCTTCCATTTGCTCATTTTGCCACCGTTTCCTTCCACTTGCAGCTGGGAATCCATGTTACTAGTGCTCACAATTATTTCTCAACTATGAACTTTCAGTAGATCACTTGCCACAATCTCTAGCCCTGGATCAAGCTGGCTAGCTTCTTCATTCCTGCCTCTGTGCTCCTGAACAGCACTAGAAAAATTGAGTGATGTGTTAAAATTAGTCAAATCAGTTGTAAGTGCTGCTCACATTCATCAAAAATCTATAATTCCTAAATGCTGGCTGTGGCACTGCTCGCAGTCCTTTTGATTCTTGCTCAAAATATTCTCTTTCTCAAAAGTCCATCCTTACAGCTCGTCCTCGTTAGTATAGTGGTGAGTATCCCCGCCTGTCAAAAGTCCATCCCTCTCCTGAAGTCGGTTAACCTTACCTCTAAGTTATCCCATCACTCAATAATTAACCCTTACTTGCCCTTTAGAAATGCAAGGGAATCCTGAGTGAACTCTAATTGCAGTCCTCTCTTGTAAGGTTTCTCCTCTCATTCTTAATTCTTTTTTCCTGTCTCAGAGGAAGAAGTGTTTCTATCTTTTCAAAGGATAACCATTCAACTATACTCTTACATTATTGACTCCTATCTTCCCGGGATTCTCGCTCCATTCATGGGCCCTTCTCTTTTATTTGCAATCATTCCATCTTCACCAACTTCTTCCCCTCAAACCATCCTTCAGCCTAGAAAATGAAACAAGATGGGAAAAAAATTGTTGAACGGACTTTCAATATATCCCTAGCCTTAAATGCTGGCAGAAATTCCACAGGACAATTAAGAAAATTTATAAGGTAACATGATTTTCTTCCTTACTTCCAAAGCAAATTCTAGCCAGAACATACAGAGGACCTCTAATGCCATATAATTAACATAACTTTGTGGGAAATAAAAGCTCTCATGTTTAGTACTACATGCATACATGCATACTTCCAGTATCTTCTCCATTTGCTCTTCATAGCCTCTGACTTCTTGGGTTGATTTCAGTTGTAAGTGCTGCTCACCAATCTAGTAGTATTCAAGGTTCTAATTGGCAAGATTTACTACCCTGGGATCTTCTCCACATAGTACCCCAGGGATCCTCCTTTACCATTTTGTTTTTCATCTCTTTAATCAGGCATTATTGTCTCCTCATTTATCATTGCCAATTCCTCTAGGACAATGTTTCTCAAAGCTAGATACCCGTTGGAATCATTTGCAGACCTTGAAAAACTTATTTATAGGCGCCGTCCTTAAGAGTTGTCTGATTCAATTGGTCAGGAGTGGAGTATAGCCATTATAATTTTTTAAAAGCTCCCTGGTCATTGTTGAATTCTCTTGAGAACCATATCCCTAATTGAGTGATGTGTTAAGATACCAATATTATAGCATGGATCAGTGTTCTTTCTTACTTTCTTATATGACATAGTGGGTAGAACATCAGCACTATGTTCCAAGCACATCTTCCTGAGAGGAAAATAGTCCAGAGGTAAGTTGGTCACAAAATTAGTCAAATGTTATGACCTTCCAGTGATAGTGAAATATGAATTATTTCCATTATTCCAGTCCATAGGAAAAAACTCTTGGTTTGAGAAGACTCTTTTTTTGCTTTCTACTCCAGAGAATGCAAGCTGTTTTCCTTTGGCATGCCTACATGATTATATAGATCCATTTCCCTCAAGGAACTTCCAAATAAAAAGAACACATCATCTATGGCAACTGAGAAACATAGCCTTATGTTGCCTGTTTTAGAATTATTTTTGGACATTAACATTTTTTTTTAAGATTTTATTTATTTATTTGAGAGAGAGAATGAGATAGAGAGAGCATGAGAGGGGGTAGCGTCCGGAGGAGAAGCAGACTCCCCGCTGAGCAGGGAGCCCGATGCGGGACTCGATCCCGGGACTCCAGGACCATGACCCGAGCCAAAGGCAATCGCCCAACCAACTGAGCCACCCAGGCGCCCCGACATTAACATTTTTATGTACCCCCATATTAAGTTTTATGCTTAGATGTGATGCCACAGGTAGGAATCAAGGTAAATGCCATATCCCAAATCCACAGAGACTCAGAGCCAAACTGTGGGTTATCAAATCTGTCTTTTTATGTGCTGTTACTCGTAGTGTGTGATTTATATCAACTGCTTTTGAAAGCTGTGTTAACCGAAAGACGCTGGTTTGTAGAGGGGCAAGGAAGTACATTTACAGGCTGGCTTGGTCGAACTGTGCTGATTTCTCTCTAGAACAGTCTTCACAATTCTTTGCTCACAGTTAGAGGTCTGCTGAAAGTGACTCAGTGTAGATGAAAACAGCTTGCTTAATCATTCCTGAAACACGGGAAAAATTAAAATACATTTTTTTCTTTGTCAAGCAATAAAAACAATGCCAGATTGTTAATGCTTCTTTTGTACCTTTCACTTGAAAGACCTCAAAAGAACATCAAGGAGAATAAAGGCAAAATCTATTCCCCAATGGCATCATTATACATGTTGAAGCCTCTAAACACTAAAACTCTAAAGACATTCGTGAAGAGTAGAGGAATAAATGATAGCAAACTGAAGAGTGCATCTCTGGAGCTTTGTTCAACTTGCTTTGTTCAAATTCATTCAAATTGGATGATGAAAAGCAAAGATCTCATTTGTTTCAATATTAAAGTAGTAAATTAGTGAGTGGTGAGTTGCTAATTGTCCTGTAAAGCATTTAAGGTGCCAGGAGTGTCCTGTGGCCAATATTTTAAATTGCATTCTTATGGTTGAAATGAAAGCAACCATTAGAGTAGTGTAAAACAATGTTTTTAATAATTTAAGTTAGTTCGATTCAAACATGATTTTCATTCTGAAATATTTGTCGAAGCTTCTGTTTTTATTTGAGATGAGCAAGTTTCATTTTAGACTTCAAGGCGTCAAATAGGAATTCATGTTCAGTATGGGGCTAGCGTGGGGAGAGAGATTAACACTCTCCAGTGTAATGTTTCATCCCTGGCTGTGTCTGCTTGCTTCTGGGTGCAAAATTAACAGGTTTGGTTAAATTTTACTTGAGTTTTTGGTGACCTTTTCTAATCCTGGCTGTTTCATAATTTAATGTCTTGACCTTCGTTTTCCATAGAGCCACCTTAGTGATAAAGGCAGAGATTTAATAACTAGAACTGGTTGACAGGTGACCTTTCATACATGGCCATTTCTCTTTGCTGGAGAAACCACACTGTTTTGCAAGTTTTAATTCACAGATTTTAATTATCTATTCTATAAGCTCTAATTATCTTGTCTATAAGCTTATTCACAGAGAAAAAAAGGAAAGGTTAAATATTTCATTCTTCTTGCTGATTAAAATGTAAAGTGCTTGGCAGTTGTCCCAATATATCATTCAAAAAAGACAGGGCAATTTGTCAGTTTCTTACCCAAAGAAGCAAAAAGGGGAATTTTCCAGAGTTGTTAAGGAGCAGGATGAAAAAAGTGGTTAGGAGAGTGAGCGGTATCATTAGCAGGATGAGGGTAACTGCGCCCACGTGTGTGTGAGTGTGTGTGTGTGTAAATTTGGAGCAGAAAAACAGAATAGTTCTTTAACTATATGTGTACTAATCTGAAGAGAAAAGTAACCAAAAAGTCACAAAAGGATAGACCTGCCAATCAGAGTGGGTGACGTGTTAGTTTTGTTAATTTTTCCTTTTTTTAAAAAAAAAAAAAACCTGGTAGAGTATCAATTGCGCATGTCATGGTAAATTGGTTTCTAGGGTCCATATAAATAATATTTAAACACAGGAAAATAAAGCTAATTATTAAAATGTCACAGATTCTTAAAAAGAGATAAAGAAGAGCCAACCTTCCTCCCACCCTCCCCCATAGGATCAGAGAATATAGAACCTTCTTGATTTCCCTGGACTTGCATTCTTCAGCATTTTTGCAAACAAAATTCATTTTTGTGCCAAATACTCATGCTTCTAATAAAATAAAAGTAAAATTTCGCATGGCTGTAAAAGGGCCATAGTAGGGCCATAGTCTCCCAATCAGCCAGTGGTCTGGAATCTTCATAAGTACAGAGGGAAGAATGACTCATTGAGTTAGAGAAAGGCTTGGCAGTCTTGAGCTAACTTTGATTCCCAAGTACTTGAAAGCAGCCATGTGGGCTTCTAAAGTGAATTTACCTCAAGGAGGTTTCCATGCAGGGGGAGATATTCCCTTTAGCCACGGAGATCAGCTTCTGAAAACATCATCGCCATGTCCTTTTTTCCCTCAGATATGGATTGTAATCACTTAATGCTTCAGAAAGAAATGCAACTCACCGCTGTTATGAAAAAGTTTTGAAAAACAAATTAAGTAAAGATGTGGGGAACCATTTGAGGCTAATAAAATTGGTCATGATGAGTTTATCTTCAACTGAATTTCAGCCAGATTTCAAATCAAAAATAAGAAAAAATTTTCTGCATAATTTCTTAGACCATGCTAATACCTTTGCCAGAGAAGAGAGGTTAATTCTGCTCACATGCAAACCCTATATTCCTGAGGAGCCTCTCATCAGTTGAGAAACATTATCCTCTTTTGGTGAAATTCTTGGCCACCACGATGTTTAAAAGCATTAATTTATAATTTAGTATCAATAATTTTAATATAATAGTGGGTGAGATTTGAGATGTTTGCCTAATTCTCTATTAGGAATGATGCAAATTAATAGTAAATATTTCTTTAATATCTTTCCCTTTGTCCTGCGAGTGCATTTTATGAAAGATAATATGTGCTCTTTTTTTTAACCTGAAAGATGTCTAGTACCCACTGGATATCATGTTCATCTCAATTTCCTCAACTCTATAATGGGAAATAAAAACAATCCAACTTATGAAGAATATATTATGAGAATGAATGGAATAAGGTAATAAAGTGCTGGGCAGGATGAATGGCCCATAATAGGTGTTCAGTCGTGTTTCTATCAGTAAGTATAATACACTATGCTTAGATGTCTTTCTCATTCTGTTTCTTCCCTTCCTCCCTCTCTCATCCTTTCCCTGTGCCCGAGACAGGAATAAAGTCCTTTTTTCTTGTAAGGAAGCAAGTGTCAGGATTCATTTCAAGGCAATCCCTTAGGCCTTTAAAAAAAAATAAAATAGTGTATGAATTGACCCTAGTTAATCATCGAAATCCGCTGTGCCTCAGAGCTGTATACTGAGATTAAAAGCTCACACTGATTAGAATTCTAAAATTATTTTATCCTTCGTGGTGCCTTTCACAGAATAAGTACTAAGTAAAAATTACTTGGTTGTTTAATAGATGTTGCCAAATTCTTAACTTTCCCCAAGCTGAGTGTTCATAATCAGATATGCAGGTATAGAGTTTGTATATTTTTGTGAGGGAGAAATACCAAATCAAATATAGTGCTCTTGCCATTAAAAAAATTCATCATTTTATACTTTAAATAAAAGGACGTGTTCGGGGGCGCCTGGGTGGCTCAGTTGTTAAGCATCTGCCTTTGTCTCAGGTCATGATCCCAGGGTCCTGGGATGGAGCCCTGTGTCGGGTTCCCTGCTCAGCGGCGAGTCTGCTTCTCCCTCTCCCTCGCCCCCCCCCGCCCCCCGCTCATGCTCTCTCTTGCCCTTTCAAAAAAAAAAAAAAAAAAAAAACTCAAAAAAAAAAAAAAAAAAAGAAGGAAAGGACGTGTTTGATTTTTGTGGGCTTTTAACAGGGACACAGTTGCCCAGACACAGTCGGCTGAATATTTGTGGCGATATCAGTTTATAGACACAGCGCAAGCCCAACCAAAGCATTTGGCTTGATGATGCTTTGAGTGTACAAGACAAAAAGATGAAAGGATCAAGTTTGTTTTTAAAGAAAAGAAATAAAAATGTAAGGACAAGTCAACTAAAAAGGAGAATTCAAAATTAAGATAGGGCTTGGTACAGTGGAGCTGGCTAAATCTTTCCAGAGGTCTCAGAAAATCCAGGGCCTCAATCTGGGGAGAAACTGCTTACCGAGGCAGAACTGAGCAAGTGGAGACATATGGAATATATTTTTGAGCAAGGGCCACAAGTCAAATAATATAAACGAGTTCAAGAAACAGCAGTACATTTTAACAAAGAAAGTTGAGATCACAAGATGCAGTGATAAAGCTAATAAAAGGAACTGAGATAATCAGATAAGAGCGACTCTTGGGTCAAACTGTCCATTCAAGCCTAGGTATTTCTTTCTTTTTTATCATGGCTTACCATAGTTTGAAGTGTCTTCAAATGTATAAATGAGTCCCTTGGGCCTTAACAAGCTCTTGGTGTTACCTGAAGCTTCTGATTATCATTAGGACTGTTGCATTCATCCAGCCTGGCTCTCGTAACATATTGTAAAATGGTCCCTGTGACCAAGTGGCAAATAGAGCATCACCATATGCAGCCATGTCTCTTGGCACCTCATTTAGGATGTCAGGCAGCTGGGCAGACTGTGGCTAAGCAGGATAGGTACATGAAAGGCTCTTACGACTCTGGCTATGGTGACAATATATAAAGGAAAGGGACGACTTAAAGATCACCACCTATCCCCCAAGCCATTACATTCCTAGCCCTCTGCCCAATTACATATTTGTTACATAAACAAGAGGCTGTGGTTGCCAATGTTTGCCCTCAAGTTGTTAGTCAGCTGCTGACCTCATAATCTGCACAGCTGCGGCCTCCCAATATGTTGTCATGAAACAGATTGTGATGTCTTAATTGATCACTTTCAGAGGTTACAATTGTCAAGTGAAACCAGTATGCTGATTCTTATTAGTTAAATTAAGGCCTGTTATAGCACAACCAGCTAATTCACTCAACGACTAGGAAATCCGATGCAAATTTGTAGATCAGAACACATACAAGGCTCTTTGTATCTTTGTTCTTTTTGATTTTTTTTTTAATTTGTGGAGACCATACCCAAAAATGCTTTTATTATACAGTGAAGCAACTTCTTGGAACAGAAAATGGAATGTAACCTCCCTGAACCATATGCATCTTGGTGATAAGTTGGAGTGTGCCATATGACACACACAGTTTAAATCAGGCATTGATTTGCATGACTCTAAGTGGGTTTGGAGGACTTAGCTAAGTGTAATGTATGTTAGGCCCTGCTGCAAATCGTCTGGCAGGAAGAATATTGTGTTCTTCCTTATTGCCCTGAAAAACTATAGGCTCCTGGATGCGTAAAGGTCTTAGATCACTATCCCATCCCAAGAGGCAGCCTCTTATGCCCCCATCTGGCCATCAATGAAGTCTTCACTATGGCACCAACCCACAGAACCCATTTCCAAGTTCCCTAATATACTCACCCACCTTGAGCAGACCTATTCTAACCTGCTGTTCAGATTTCTTATGGTAGCGGGGGTGATGGACAGTCCCTTTGATAGCTGAGTTTTAAGACACTTCATAAATGGCGAGACCTCAGTGGCATGTCCAATCCATGCCTGAGCCTACGTTGTTTCATGTCCAGCCCTGTTCAAACCTTACATGATTCTAACAGTTCAATGAATCTCTTTTTATATAGGAAAAAAAGAAACTTCATAAGCGGACCTTTGTGGACTTAACCAGTCAAGTTTTTTTTTCAAAATCCTTCATTTTGACATTAAACAAATGGAAACATTTGTCCATTTAGCATATTTCACAGGTGCACAATAAAAACTAAAAGAAGTAAAGTTAAATTAACCTAATAACTGCTAGCATCCAAAATACAGTGGGAAACACAAGGATGTTCATCAAAGCAATTTTATAAAGGAAAAAATTAGATAATATCCAAATGCCCAGCAGTAGGCAAATAGGTACATTATGGTATGTCCACATAAGGGAATATTGTATCGGCATTAATAGTATCAATAAGGAGGAGCGCCTGGGTGGCTCAGTCAGTTAAGCGTCCGACTCTTGGTTTCAGCTCAGGTCATGATCTCATGGGTCCTAGGATTGAGCCTCGCCTCGGTGCTCCACACTTAGTGGGGAGCCTGCTTGAAGATTTTCTCCCTCTGCCCCTTCCTCCCCCAAAACAAATAAATAAATCTTTAAAAAATACATCTCTAAGGACTGTTTACTGGCATGGGAAAGTTTAATGGTGTGAAATAGTTGAAAAACCAAGATTGCCAAATTTTATAAATAGTATTTCTCAACCTAATATATCTAGAAGGGGGAAAATAACACAAAATATTTTAACAGTTGTCAAGTGGTGGAAATATGAAGAGTTTTTATTCTTTTATTTATTTTTTTTCAAGTTCTCCACAATGAGCCCGTATTACTTCAATAATTAGGAAGGAAAAAGTGTCTTAAAGCAGTTTGAGTAGTTTTGTTATAACATTAGCTGCGGGGAGTCTGTGTTCAAAACATCTCTAATCTAACAGGTCTGGAAATGACCTCATTCTCCTCTGCTGATGCTGCTCCTCCTAAAGCCTTTGCCTTCTCATGTAAAGCCAGTTTTAGCCTTCCAGTTCATTAGGCTAAAAATTGAAGTTATCTTTGATTCTGCCCTATCTTTCAGGTCCTGCAGTCCATCTTACTGGTCAACCCAATAGGCTTTACCTTCAAAATATGTTCAGCGTGTGGTCAGGATCTTGCTACCTCTTCTGCTATCCGACCTACTCCAAGCCACTATCATCTCTTGCCATGATTGTGGCAGTAGTCTGTTCTCCGAGTTTCTACCTGTTTCCTTTTTGTCAGTTTTCCACACCACAGCCAGGGCTGTTAAAATATAATGCAGATCAGCCGCTTCCCTATTCAGAACGTTCTGAAGGCTCCTGAGCAAAAGAGCCTACCGGATGTCTCCCTGGTCATCTCTCGGACAATACACATACAGACACACACATACACGTATCCTAACCCCCTTCCTTGCTTTAATTTTCTCTATTTAGCACCTCTCTTCATCTAACATATTATATACTATGCTGATTTATTAACTGCCTTTCTCCTCCCAGTGGAATGTAAGATCTATGAGGTCCCGGGATTTTGCTTAAAATTTTACAGCTGAATAATCTCCAACCCCTAGAACATGGCACATCATTGTTGCTCAATAACTACTTTGGATTCCTACCATTGGTAGGAAAGACATCTTGTTACAGTTGTGTGGTAATTTTTACAGGTGACTTTTCTGAGGTACTTTGCCTCTCAACCTAACCACCTAGATTGACCTGTTTGTATGTTGATAGGTTTCTTCCGGATTGTGTTTCTCTTTCATCTAAATCAACAATTCTCAACGAATTTGGAAAAGTCTATTTCTTCCCTAATACTAAGTTCGGTGTTCAGGCTCCTGATAAATTATTTTCATTCAATTGCTCTCATTTCCCAACTTAACCACTATATACTGGGCTCCTATAGTAATCCCAGGACTTCTGGGGAGTGGGATTAAAATGAAAAAGACAGACATTGACTCTTACAGAGTTTACTATATCGTGGACAGACATGAATAAACAATAAAATACAACATAACTAATAAAATAAGGGCAGTACCCAGTGTGAGAAGAACTAATGACCAAGAGGCACCATAAAAATACAGGATCAAATGTCAGATACAAAATGTGGGATCTAAGAGAAGGAAGATGAGAAAGATATATATCAACACAGTGCATTGCTCCTTTATCACCGTTTTAAAAGGTAGGGTGACTTTTCCTCACATAGGAGCAAAGTGGCAAAAGGAATTTATTTGGTTTGCCTGGGAGGAAGGAATGCAAGGGATAATGGAAAGAGCAATGGGTTTAGAGTTAGAAGATCTAAATTTGAATCTACCACTGCAATTTGAATCTATCATCTACAAGTTCTAGAAGCTGGTGCTTACCCTCTATGAGTCTCTGTTATGTAATTCCTTTAAAACAAGGAGGGTGGTGGTTAGACCAGCACTAGAGATGATTATCTCTTTTACATTCCTTCCCTGAGTTCTTAAAAGAAGCCTTTCCTTATCCATCTAAAATAGAAACACAAAGGCCAGTTAACATGGTGATACAGGGAATTTTTTAAGGGTTTTTGTAAAATATTTGCCAGCCTGAGACTTGTCTTAACTAGGTCTTGGTTCTGAACATCTTTTTCAGAACCTCATCATTTGCTGAATTTTTCATGTTTTCATCAACTGCTACATAACTATTCATAAATACAAGCAAAATACAGAATTGATGCCTGGATATATTCCCTTTGCATTTCTTTTTTTAGCCACTGTCCTTATTAAAGAGATCAAATCTTCCCCTGTTGCCTTATTTCATTTGAAATTATGGTTTTGAATAAAAAGTCATTATTTAGAATGGAAAACAAATGACTATTTTTCCATTTAATTTTAAACTGACATAAGGGGATAGAAATTAAAATTATTTCTAGCAATCTGTATTCACGTTTTAAATGAAAGCATGGCCCTAGCTTGATAACTTGTGGTGGCTACTGTAGGATTGGCCCATATATTTCAGGAAATCCCACATTCGGCTATTATATACAATATCTGAATTTCATTTTCTCAGAGGAACTTGTTTGGATAGCTGGAACTTACTCATTGACATATCTCTCCCCTGTCTCATTTCTCTGTTTTTCAGCCTTTGCAACTGGACTGTGACCTTTGCGCCATAGTGTCAAACTCAGGTCAGATGGTTGGCCAGAAGGTGGGGAATGAGATAGATCAGTCATCCTGCATTTGGAGAATGAACAATGCCCCCACCAAGGGCTATGAAGAAGATGTTGGCCGCATGACAATGATTCGAGTCGTGTCCCATACCAGCGTTCCTCTTTTGCTAAAAAACCCTGATTATTTTTTCAAGGAAGCAAATGCTACTATTTATGTCATTTGGGGCCCTTTCCGCAATATGAGGAAAGACGGCAATGGCATTGTTTACAACATGCTGAAAAAGACTGTTGACGTCTACCCAAATGCCCAAATTTACGTGACCACAGAGAAGCGCATGAGTTACTGTGATGGCGTTTTTAAGAAGGAAACTGGGAAAGACAGGTGAGTCCTCTGAGAGGTGGCCTCATTGTCTTCTATGCTAGCTCCTTGCTGAGTTCTTTCTCCAGCTATCAAATGAACAGAGTTATTTTTCAAATTGATGGTTAGATGTTTTTTGACTATTACGATTACTTGATGAGCCAGCAACTAGGCCCCATTTATTCCACCTACACTACCTTCTGTTCTCTCCATTTTGATTGGCTTGAGGATCCAAAAAATACTGGATGCTTCCCCAAGATATCTTTAGATTTCTTATTTAGCTCAATTTGCTATTGGTTAAATTGGATGTTAGCCAAAAGGAAGTACACACATTTCTGTTTCAAAACAGAAATGTTAAGGAACTTCAGGACCTAAACTCCTTTGGAAGTTGCTATAAAAATTTACCTGAGACTACGAAACAC